ATTCTTTGTTTTCGAGGCTCTACATCTTCGGTAAATTGTTTGACTTATTTTGTATCCAACGTTTGAATCAATTTCTTTTAGTTGCTTTACAGAGATAACTAGATCTTCGATTTTTAGATTGCTGTACATGTATTGCAATTGTCTAAACCTTTTGTTTGCGTACTTAGGCTTTTTGATTATCCAAAACTGATAAATCGATCACCGTGAAACTGCCTGCAGTCACGTTTATCAACACCGACAAGAACAACCCTTTGGAGTTTGGTTCACAGCTTAAGAAGGAGGAAGAGTGTTCACAGGTAAGAATTTGATTTAGCATATATCACCATAGACGAGTGTTCTGTTTTTTTCTTCTTAATTTCGTTTTCCATTCATTAACATTTTCTTTCATTATTGTCTATCAGAATTCCAATTGATGGAATAATCGAGTGCAAGATTTTACATTCGATCCCCAAAAGAAAAGAAAAGAAAAAAAACTGGATACAATGGACCTGAAATCGAACCATACATCCCCTGTTTTAACCGACACTTCTTCTTTAAACAACACAAGATTAGGTATTCACTCTGCTTTGCTGCCGTACGCGCACAACGCCTCCGCTTTTTCTCCTACGCTCTTTCTTACAATCCCAAGAAAAAGACCTAGTACGCTCGACGATGTAAGATCAAGCCTGTTTGATGCAATGAAATCATCTTCTCCGACTCATAATATATTAACCAAAGAATTTAATACGGACCCCACATCAAGTGATGTCGATATCAGTTACCGAAACTGGACGGTAATTATATACTACTTATACTCCTCGTGCTCTTTTTTCGTTCCAAGTTTTAATCTTTCTTTTTTCAGAGGAGTGTTTTCTAATCCTATGTTTGGTTTATGCAGTTCAAATATCCATCAGCACTTGCATCGTTCGAGCAAATAGCGAACAATGCAAAGGGAAAGAAAATAGCTTTGTTCTTGGATTACGACGGGACTTTATCTCCGATAGTAGATAACCCTGATCTTGCTTTCATGTCGAATGCTGTGAGAAATTATCTGTATAATTTAATTTAGACCGTACAAAATAATAATAATATAAATAACTAATATAGTGGCTCGTTTTCAGATGCGTGCTGCTGTTAGCAATGTGGCTCAGTATTTTCCGACTGCTATAATTAGTGGAAGAAGTCGAGACAAGGTGATTTCATTTTTTTTTAATTGTGTCGATTCTTGTTAAACAATTTCTTGATTATTTCTGCAAAAATTAGTATATAGACTTATCTTTTTGTTTTTCTTCGTATTATTTAGGTATACGAGTTTGTTGGGCTAAGTGATCTTTATTACGCTGGAAGTCATGGTATGGATATTATGGGCCCCGTTCGGACCTCGTCAAGTGAGTACAGAAACTGTATTAGATCAACTGACAAGCAGGTAATAATAATAATAATATTTAGAGATAATTTCACTTGTTATGGAGCAACCGTTTACGAGCTTATTTGTGTCTACATAGGGCAAGGAAGTGAATTTATTCCAACCTGCCAGCGAATTCTTACCTATGATCGAGGAGGTTTTGGAATCTCTTATCGAGATAACAAAAGATATACCCGGTGCAAAAGTGGAGAATAATAAATTCTGTGTTTCTGTGCACTACCGTAATGTAGACGAGAAGGTAATTTTTTTTTTTTTGCATTTTTGAATAATATCATTTGCTAATTATTAATTTCGGGGTTGGTTTGAATATTTACAGAGTTGGGCAAGTGTTGGTCAAGCTGTAGAGGAGATTCTAAAAGAATATCCTCGTTTGAGATTGACGCATGGTCGTAAGGTATTTATTACAAAATATTCGATTTTTTTTTCGGATATACACGGCTTAAAGATATCCTTCTCTCTGCATGCTTGTACTTATATATACATACTTGATCGTATTGATTTGATTTAGGTTTTAGAAGTTCGACCGATTCTAGACTGGCACAAGGGTAAAGCTGTCGAATTTCTACTCGAATCACTTGGTGAGTGGAAAAACGAAAAATATTTTTTTTTTCTTAATTTTCTCTTTTCTGATACCATTATTTACGGAACGAATCTACGTAATATTTTAGGGTTAATGGATTGTGAAGATGTTCTTCCGATATATGTTGGTGATGATCGAACTGATGAAGATGCATTTAAGGTACACCCGAAAACTAATAATATATATTGATTTTGAGGTTTTTTTTTTTTTTTTTTTTTAAATAATCGTATATTTCGCAGGTTTTGAGAGAGGGGTAATCGAGGTTTTGGTATTATAGTTTCGTCGGCGCCCAAGGAAAGTAATGCATTTACTCTCTAAGAGATCCTTCAGAGGTATTCCCGAATTTCCAATTAGAAAATTTTGTATTAGCTGTGTTCATATTAAATGACAATTTTGCCATTTAATATTTGTTGGAGATATTAATACTAAATGATACATTTCACTAACAGCTTAAGCTTTTGGTTGAGATGGTCATCCAACATGGTATCAGAGCCAGGCCAAATAAAAGGTCCTGAGTTCGAATCCCACCGCCACCCAATTCAAATATTTCAAGTGCAAGGCTTCAAATGTAATTCGCCTGCACTTGAGGGGGCGTGTTGGAGATATTAATACTAAATGATACATTTCACTAACAGCTTAAGCTTTTGGTTGAGATGGTCATCCAACAATATTTTTATAAATGACAATTTTGCCATTTAACATGTGCAGGTGATGGAGTTCCTGAAGACATTGGCAATGTGGAAGAAGAAGAATAGTGAACTATAGAGTTATATTGACTTAGGGAAAGGGATTATATATATATATATATATATATATATATATATATATATATTATGATAGGAAGTATTTTGATATTATATATTTTATTTCTTCTTTTATATCTTAATGAGATTTTTTTTTTCTTTTTTCGCGCGGGGGCTTAGGGGCGGAGGTGCCGCCTTGTCGAAGCTTCTTTTATTTCTCGATTCTCGATCGGAGCTATTGCGAATTCAGCACTGAGGTTGCCCTTGAGACCTTCTTATTTTTTTTTTCAATTTAAAGAATTATTCAAAGACAATCTGGTGTCTCTCTTGTAGAAAGAACTTCCTCCCTAAGGGTGGGGCATTTATAAGGGTTATCATTTCTTGATTTATCAATTAATTGAATTTAATTTTTCTTGCCATGTGTTTTCTTTTATAACACCAATAGAACTACTACCATTGTTTTATTTATTAATAGACAGTGCTAAATGGCCATAATCAATTTTTTAATTATTTTTTTATTTTTAATTTAAAGCTAATACCATTTATACACTTAGGCCTCGTTTGCTTGGTGCTATTAACCTCTATTAACTAAATAGTAGGGGTTAGTAAGATGTTTGGTTGATGAGATTCGTACTTAGTTAAGTCTGCTACTACATTCAAAGCCCCCAATTAAGTGTTATTATTTGGTTTAATTAGTAGCACCCCTCTCCCTCCGATCAATTTTGTAGGGGTAATTAAAAGAGGAAAATACAATTTTATCCTTAAAACAATATCTTAATTTTTTTAATTAAAATACTTTTTAGACAATTCACATTAAATACCAGAATTTAACAAATTAAATCTCAATTAAGTGCTATTATTTGGTTTAATTAGTAGCACCCTTCCCCCTCCGATTAATTTTGTAGGAAGTGATTAAAATAGGAAAATACAATTTTATCCTTAAAACAATATCTTAATTTTTTTTAATTAAAATACTTTTTAGACAATTCACATTAAATACCAGAATTTAACAAATTTAATACAAGATTTATTCTAACGAATCAAACATCTTAGTCACTCAAATTTAATACCCGATATAGACATCTTAGTCAGTGAGATATTAATCCAATCTCACATAATCCAATGTAATCCGATATAGGTAAGCAAACGATAGTCAGTGAGATATTAATCCAATCTCACATAATCCAATGTAATCCGATATAGGTATCCAAACGAGGTAATCCGATATAGGTAAGCAAACGAGGCCTTAATAGGGTGTTGAATACTTGATCCAATCTCACATAATACAATGTAATCCGATATAGGTATCCAAACGTAATAGGGTGTTGAATACTTGATCCAATCTCACATAAAATACATAATCCAATGTAATCCGATATAGGTAAGCAAACGATAGTCAGTGAGATATTAATCCAATCTCACATAATCCAATGTAAATCCAATCCCATCCAGACTAAATAATTAATTAGTGAGTGAGATATTAATCCAATCTCACCTAATTCCAATCTCATCTAATGTAATCCGATATAGGTAAGCAAACGAGGCCTTAATAGGGTGTTGAATACTTGAATCCAAATTTAATGGTTGGCCCGAGTTTTGGGGCCCCGAAACCAACCCGCGAGGAGGTAGATCCGGTCCGGGGCGGGTCATGACGGGTTCGGTCAGGGTCCAGCCCAGGGCGGATTTTTAATTTTTAATTCGAAAAATCTATGGATGAGGCTCGAACGTGGGTTGATAAAAATTGCATAGCAACATTAACCACTATGACATTGCAAATATTCGCTAATTAACTAGCAATACTAGTAATAGCACAAAATACTAGTATATAACACAAACTAAACTGTATAATTATTATAATTAATGTTAAATAGATTATTAATTAGTATATTCATTATTATTAAATAATGTTAATTAAATTATTGCAAAAAATTTAATATAATATAAAAAAAAAAATGAAAGGACTTGAGCTTAATCGATTTAAATCTTACGATTCGATTTAAATATTTGAATAAAATGTAAATGTAAAAAAAATGATTAAATTTTACAATCTACGATTTGATTCTTATGATTTTTACAAATTACATTTTATTATTTTTTATAATAAAATTCAATTAAAAAGATATTACTTCAATTATAAATAGTTCATTTGATTAGTACGTCATTCTCAATAGTTGAGCATAATCTATTCAAAACTTTGAATAAAGCTTACGAATTGAATGAACTTGATCTTAACCGATTCAAATCTTACGATTAACAAATTTATTCTTACGATTTTAACGAATTATATTTTATTATTTTTATGATAAAATTGAATTAAAAAGATATTAAACTTTAATTATAAATAGTCAATTTGATATATTAATATGTTCTTGTCAATAATATATCTCTTTAAAATACTATTAAACCAAATATTAAAAGAAAATCACAACATAGTATTTTGATTCTACTCTTAATCTATAGTATTTTTTAAAGTACGAAAATTAATTGGAATGAGTTATAATCTATTCTTGTTAAAATAAACATGATCTATATTTTTTGTTTATAAATATGTTCTTGTCAATAATTGTCCTATAATAAAATAATTAATATTTTTTTATATTAATATGTTTTTATCAATAATTGTCCTATAATTATATAATCACAGGGCTGACACTGCCGTTTGCAATAGGTTTTTTTCCTCTTCCTTTTT